TTGGAAGTGGATGTCTGATGTCTTTTTGCATTGATCTCCCATTGTGGAGAGCTGCGATGCACACAGAAGATGGCACCAGTTTCCGCCTTCCACCATCCCAAGGGTGAGCGCTCTCTGGAATAAACAACTCCTTATTTGGCTTGGTCTAAGATTCAAACTTGCATCAGCAAATGCAAGCCTATCCGCCTTAGCCACGTGGCGTTCTGGGGCTGGCTGGCAAGAGTGCTTTTAAGCTGTGGGGGGTCTTTCCCCGAAGTCAGAAGATTGTTTCAGTTTCCTGAGTAAACTGCTTAAGGAAGAGTCTTGGTGTTGCGTCTTCCTTGCTGGTGGAGGCGGTCGGGACATCCCATTTGTTTAGTTTATTTACTGAAGCTGGGGCTCGTGTTGAGCCTAGAACTCGTTGCTTATGGCTAGTCCGTCTGAAATAGTAAAGGTGTTGGTAAGCAATAAGAAAATTATCAGGACTCCCAAGAGGCTTTACTCTAAAACCCTATGTTACTGTTGTTAGGCCATTTGAGATCTAAAAAGCTGGCTATGAGGTTGAGTGCCTTCAGGAAGGTGTGACCTCATATACAGTGTAACATAAAACTAGCCAGCAAAATTGACAGACTTGTCAACTTGACACATAAACACATCACCACTAAACCATAACCTTTTCATTCTTGTTCATCCCCAAGATGGGATGTTAATATGAATATCACAATATAAAACACCCCAAATTTTAAAAGTCCTGCCATCTTTAAAATGTCAAATACCTTAAAAGTTTAGTCTCTTTAAAAAATAACAAAAGTCTTTTTCAAAGTACCTAGAAAATATTCAAACTCTCTCTAAGATATCCAGTCTCTAAAATTCCAAATTATCTGTGAAATTCCGAAGACTGTCTAAAACCCCAAAGTCTTTTAATTGTGGGCTATCTTAAAAATAAAAAATAAGTTACATGCTTTCTTACTCCCAGAGGGAAGAACGGAGGACACAGTCACAGTCAAATCAAAGCAAAACCCAAATCCAACAGTGTGAAGTTCAGTGTCAGACTTCAGGGACTCACTCATGATTCTCTCGGTTCCGAAGGGTTTGTGTGGCCACCCACAGAACACACAGTTTGCCTCCTAGGCTCAGATTGACTCCACTCCACAGCTTCTGCTTTCCTTGGAAGTCATCCCATGATACAGACACCTCCAAAATTTTGGGGTCTCCACTGTAACTGCACTGCACCTACCAATAGCCTGTCCTTGGCTCTCTTCTGATACTCTGACTCTATGACGTGGTGCCAAACCTCAACTTCTCTTCATGACCCCTTTCAATCCTGGGGCTTCTACTTCAACTGAGGCTTTGTGCTGAGCAGTGTCCTGGCCTGTCATGGTGTGAAACCTCAGCTGCTCCCCAAGACTCCTCCATGAATTTGAACCACGGTTGGATCCTGCAAAAGAAAGCTAGCTTGGTGAAAGTTGGGATAAAGGAAAAAAGAACACATTCTTGAATGTATAGAAAGTCCTGTTGCAGAAGGAGCTCACAGGGTTCTAAAATTTGCTCATCTGAAATAATAAACGTGTTGGTAAGCAATATGAAAATTACCAGGACTCCCAGGAGGCTTTACTCTAAAACCATGTGTTACTATTGTTAGGCCATTTGAGTCTGAAAAACTGGCTCTGCGGTTGAATGCCTTCAGGAAGGTGTGGCCAGCTGTAGTAGTCTCAAGGGAGTGGTAAAGTGGGCTAGGAGACAAAAATGAGACTTAGAATTCTTTCTGAAAATAGTGAAGGAATACTTGTGTGTCAGTCTATCTTTTTCAAGTTTGTATCACTCTTTGTGGAACCTGGTAATATTCAGTATGCCTCTCTAGGGGTTGTGTTGGTGGTGGGGGTGAAAGAAATACTGAACCCACTTTGTGTCTTAACAAAATGGTGGGATAGATAAGTACTTGGTACATGAGAATTCAGAATTGGAAATCTTCTAGTTAGATGAGTTCTTTCTTTGATTTCCAATATATATTTACAACGAATGACATTTAACAGAGAGTTAGTAGAATTAAAGGAATGCCTGTCACATATGTCCTGACTTGAGTCATTTATTCTTTAAGTCCATGCTATAAGATTTTGCAAAATGATTTCAATAAGACATTGTGACTTATAAGCAGGTCCTACCATTATCTGTTTTGTAGGTCTTTCTGGTCTTCTCCAGTCATGTCCTTCTTAACGCTTTAAGGTAGAAACGCCCGAAAGAAATGTGGCGCAAGTCACTTTTGTAATATGAGAGATTAACATACCTAACCTAACGTAGCTTAAATATTACATTTTTTAGAAATTAAATCTTCTAAATGTGGCATGCACGCTGGCAACCCACGTCTCTTCAGATCCGAAGGCACAGCCCCCTTCACACAGCACCATCTTGGTGGAGCTAACGTGAAGGAAGGCGTCCTTTGGAGACCACTGTCCTTGCTCTCTCCCTCCAGTCCAGTCCAGCTTGGCCAACCAGACTCGGTGGGTGGTCGGCTGTGGGCGGGGCCCCGGGAGCAGCGCACCCCGGGCTGCGGCGACCCCAGCTTGGGTCCAGCTGTCCCTGCCACCTGTGCCCACCC